GTTTCGATAAGAAAATTATCACTTCCCACAAAGTTCACGAAAACAATCATGTTACTAAGCTAAACAGTTGCTTTCAAATAGAAGAAAAAATTCCAGGATTACTGCGATCTTCAGCGTTTTCAACAAATTTTAAAATCATCGCAGAAGTAGTGAAAAAGCCTTTTACTTTTACATTTGCTACAAAAAAATCAACAAAGTTTTTGAATTATTGAGTGGGAGTCATCTCTTGGATCCATCGTTAAGCATGACATATCCTGCTAATTCTACATCAGATCGTCTCAACAAGATGTTGTTATTCACGATTTTCTATACGAATGAAAAAGATAATATCTCAATGAAGGCACTAGGCAATTGTCGATACCAGTACCTGTGTGGTACCGGTATCAACCACTGGAACCGTACCGAAAGTACCAAAGTTTTTTTCATTATCTAAATCTATTTCTGAACTCACAAGAAGCTTTTTCCTCCTTAAATCGCGAAGATTCCCATCCCTTCATTTTTCAAGGTATTTTTTGTCCTCTCTTTTTCCATCTTATTGTTGAAATAGTACCATTTTTATTGTGAAATACAGATGTTATTTTATCACCTTACTTTACATCGTATACGCCGTGTTATTCAACAACATTAAAGAAGGAGACAAACAGATTTCTATTCTGTTTGTGTCAGCTGTTCCATATATGATCATTATGAACACGCGTACAAGGAAGTAAATATAAGAGACTATAACATGTAGCTGATCCCAGAAAAAAAATACAGCAGATGCAATTCAGTATCAGCTGCCAAACATGGATAGAAGCATTAATGGTACCGAAAGTACCGAACGATTTGATACCTAACAGGGTACCGAACCGAAATTTTCGATGCTGCGCGAAAACAGTACCGATACGGGTACCGAAGTACCGACAATTCTCTAGAAGTCATGAAAAATAATGAATATTTTTGATTTCCTGACATTAAAAATTGACATTTTTTTCTGACTAATAGACTGCCGTTTAACCACGCATAAAATAAACATTATGATGACAAATGCATATTACCTTCTCGTATGTAACAGTTTATTAACGAGAGATAGTAATAATAGTGTAAATCTTTTCATTAATAATAAAACAAGCTGATACCATTTTACGGTAATTGTTTCTTTTTCATTCATTCATACAGTTATTTATTTGTAAAAAAAAAGAACATCAAAAATCTTTCTCTTCTTCTCTTTCTCTTGCACTTTTTTCTTTTCTTTTGTATTGTTTCTTGAAAATAGTCTTTTTTTCTTCTTTCGCGCAAACTGTCACTACGATATAAAACTCAAAATAAATTATATTTTCCGTAAATTGAATTAATTCATTTGACACTTGCTATTTGATAAACATTGAAGAGGAAACATCATTTTCTACTTTTGAGGATGTACGTCTCTATTTGCGGAAATATAACCTAATCCTTTCATATTCAATAAAAACGAGATTTTTTGTTTTGTTTTTTATATTAATAATGAAATATCATCGCATATGAATATGGAAATTATAGACAATATTCATTGATAATAGAGATATGTTTTGCGTAGTAATAATATCCTTGATTTAGAGATAAAAAAAGAGCTATTTTCATTTTTATGGTAAAGGATATTTGTTTGACCCTATGTAGTTTATTCCAGATAGTTGTTCAATGATAGTTTTCTTATTATCCTATCATTCACTGTAGCATTTTAATGTAAAAAATGTTGATTAAATAATTAATAAGGATATATGTCCATTTTGAACAAAATGCACATTTGTACATGACGTTTATGTGATATACTGTCTTTTAAAATGTCTATGATTATTTTCGAGTCTTAGTAACATTATTTTAATGTCATTTTCTCGTTCAATTTTTCTTCATTCTCTATATAAGACGTGAAGTTATTTCTGGATAATCAATGTCCAAAACCATTTTATTACCTTCACGAATGACGTGCATTTATTCAATGTCATCTTTTGTCTCTTTATGTTTTGTGACGTGCTACTCGATAATTTATAGAAGAATATATACTTCATTGAGATAAAAATCTAAATAAAGTTTCTTACACAAAAGACTGATATTCATAATTAATACGCACATTGTATGTGTCTCAGAAGTAAAATGAGACAATGATGTATCAAAGAAAATGCTAACTTATTACACTATTGATATCTGATTTTTTTTTTGAAAGTCAAAAGTGATGTGAGATTCGCCTATTCCTGTATCACTCATTAAATGACAGACATGCAAGGCAAGAATAATTGAGTAAGAAAAGCAATAATTTGTTTAGAATATTGTCAAAATTCTGAAACTTAGTAATTGACATTTTAAAATATATTGACAAGAACTGTTGGATCCTATAATGTCTGCTATAAAATAACAAGGGAGAACTACAAAAAAGCATCTTAAGAACATTTTATCCTCGAAAACCACATAACACTGGCAATCAGATTATTATTTGTTTGCAGTCGTGGTTATGATAAATGTTGCAATTCATTTTTTTTGTGTAGCTAACAACTCATGATTTGACTCATTGTTTCTATATAAAAAGGGTATTTAGGTCGTTCTATATACTTACAGAAGAGCTAAAAAGGGATTTTACAAAACTCTAAGATTATCCGAAAGTTTTTCTGGAAAAACCCATTAACAAAACTATACTTTTTCGATTTCTTCAATCTAATAATCACATTTAGCGGACAAAATTAGTCACATCCTGGAGTTCTGAACTTGTTCTGATGTTTTTTGAGTGAATAGTGAATCCTTTAATATTAGGTGAAAACAGCCTGAAAATCCTAATTTTTATAACACTCACTTTTTGCTAAATTTTACAACTTGTTCTAAAAATAAATATTGCCACAAGACTCAGAATGATCGATTATCTGTAATCCACCAGTTTTCAAGGCTACCAATAGTCACAGGAGCTCAGTCCTGGGATATGTAGAAAATTGGGACTCGTAAGAAAATAATATCTAATGACCATTGGTGTCATTCTGAAGCTATCACGTCTATTTGAAAAGGAAGTATTACATCTTCGTAGGAACAACAAGCGAATGTTTTAATATTGATAATAAAGGGCTTGTAACAATACGATATCATGACATAATACCGAAGGAAACGAAAAATAAAAAAAATTTAACATCAAGTAGGAATAAACAGCTATCTTAATAGCGTGGTTTTCGGTGTTGTTTGCCAAACGCAATGCTTATCGAATTCAAACGAGATTTGCCTAATGGTTGTATCAGACGGTTCTAACAGATATCTTTTTTCACTTCGTACTCAGACAAAGAATCTTGAAATATGATCTTCACTTGTAAGATCGTATTACAAGATATCACAAGATCTAAAGAAATCCTATGATAAAAACTTTTATGAAATTGGATACAATTATAAGACGACACTGTAAGAAAAACAACCGCTTCAGGGAATTTTTTTAGGCATTGAATACGGTACTTTTTGGAGCCACTATCAATGCAAAACATTGAGAAACAGTGCGCCGTAGTCGGACACTTTTCGAAGTGTCCCATTCATCTCCTAAAAAAGTGTTCTGAGACACTTGTTTTTTAACAGTGCATACAAAAATCCATACAATCTTATAAGAAAGATATTTATCTGACCAATCAAGTCTATATGCCTGCCTTTTGCTATCATTCTTGTCTCTCGTGTTTTTCATATTTTCCGATATAGGTAGGATTCTGACGCCCTGTGATCGTGTCACAGAATATATGGATAGTTGAAACTATCCATATATTCTGTAACTCTAAATCGAGAGAAAAATATATGCGTTCTCTCCGACTGAACCGAGCCCAAATTCTTGAGTCCAGATACGGTTCGGCTCGGGATGGCCACTGGTCGACACCTTTTTAAAATGGTCAGAAACGGCTCGCTAATGATGTTGCTTTTGTCTTAGATCGACAATATAAAGAATAGAGAAAATGTTAAGATAAAGGAAAAATTTTCTTCCTTTTTAAAATGATCTTAGAATGGCCTAAAAATTGTCAAAAAAAAATCTAAATATGACCTTAAAATGATTACTATTAACTGACCGTTTTCACACCGTACCGTGAAAAACATGATCACTTCTAGACGTTGATACGTGAGGTTCGATTCCTTCCCTATTATCAACTATGTCCGCGTGCTGCGTCGCATGTTTAACTAACAACCAAGCTTTCTATACTATTATTATCTCGAGTTATAAGGAAAAAGTAGTGCAACATATTTTATACCGTACAGTAGCTCCCCCTATACAATTTCAGTTTCTGAATTTTATTCTAAATAATTCCGCTTATTTGCCAGCAACATCTAATTCCACACATCTTCTACTTTATAAAGCGACAGTGTTTATCCTATATTTGATCTCTCTTGATTGGTTCATTGCTAAAACATCTGTCCGCCATCTTTCCATGTTTATATAGGTAGACAATTTTCTAAAACTTTTACCTACAAATAATGTTTATATTTTCGATTTTTTGTTTCTAATGGTCTGGTTCATACGAACGTATAGTCGTACTTTTAAGCAAAAACGATGAAACTATTAAAGTATCACAGTGGCTTTGATTAAAAATGAGAAAAGCTCCTTCCTTGATGTGACTTCTCAAGCTTCGATACGTTGTAGCACTAAATGTACTAATTTCAGTCAAAAGCCTCGATCTGAAATGAGATGGCAATTGCAATTTGTCAGCAGTCCAATTCGAAGATTGATTGCAATGATCAAGTCAAGAATTAATGCAAACTCTAAAAGTTTTCGCGACACAATTAGGAGGATTTAACCCTCGTTCCACAAACCACATTACTATGGAGCAAACAACCTTATTTATTTTTTTTGAGCTCTTGTATATATGGGTTTGAGGTTAAAAAGTCGCCATAGTGCCGGTTTTTCGTCAAGCCCTACCGTATCTCACGATTATACTAAGTGTACCATTTCACTGGAAAACCTGTACTATTCGTGTGCATAACCGCCCTGAAAAATTCTGAGAGAAATCTGTTCTACCTTTTGCGACTGATGCTTATGTCGTATGTATTTTCAGATGGTTGCTCGTATTAAAAATGATCGGAAGCAGCCCGTGGTCAATTTTCAAGATCTTCACTCATTACTTAAAAACCCTTCATACGCTGCACTTTTATTTCAATCTGTTAAATCCATAAAATGGTTTGAATACAATGAATTACTATCATTAAGCACGTCGTCCGTAAATAAAAATCCGGACATGACATCTCTTCGACCATTATGTGAACAGCTCTACAAATATGAATCTGATTTATATAAAAAATTATTTCAACAACAAAATCCATCCGATTATAGTTGGTTTCAGACAGCAATTAGTAGCGGAACATTTAAAGTAAAATTTAACAGATATCCTTTTTATTCAACATATTTCCTTTGATGTTTCGTGTTTAGGATCGTTTAGCTGCTCATGTATCAATGATAAAACGGAGTTCATTACATTCATTGTTCGAACTAGAGTATTTAGTTCAATTATTAAGAAATAATTTACAACATCGTCGTGAATGTATCGAAATTATGGAAATTTTAAAAGATATTTTTATACAAGATTATCTCCCGCAACAGAAAAAACTTTTAACGATAGAACAACACGATCTTAGCTCAATTAAGACACAAAATCCAGATGATATGAAACGTATAGCAATACTTTGGTTTCTTCAGGATAAATTAAAACGATTATATTCATCATACTTGGATTCATTACAGGTGATTAAAACGTACCTGTCGAACCATTCGACATACGAAATTTGAGTTTAAGAAGCTTGATTCATATCAGTCTTGTTGCCTGACTCATATTTTTGCTCCTGTTGTATGTTTTAGAAAATATCTCATGATCCAATTGAAAATATTCGTATCAAAGCGATTGTAACCATTCAACATTTACTTGTCCAACGTCCTGAGCTAGAAAAACGTCTTCTAGAATTATTAATTGATAAACTGGGCGATCCTGATCATACAGCAGCAGCTAAAACGTTACATTTATGCAATAAATTATGTAAGGTATTTACGAGGAAATCTAACCAGGTGATCAAGAACCAATTTTTGATAACCGTTTAAATTACTGGATCCTTCTTGAATAGGAGTACAAAATTCGGTATCGATTTATAAACCGGTTTCGGATTTATAAATCAGTTCCATATTTATAAATCGGTTTATAACTCCACCTATTTCGGACTCTTTGATGACTTCGAAGCATCGAAAATTGTCTTTAAAAATCTATGTTCTATTAGAAAAGGTTCTAATCATCTGGGAAGATTCTCTCACTACATCTGTTGGATAATTGAGAAAGGTTATAGTATGTTTTTTCTCTGACAGTAGAAGAACATTCAGCCATGAAAAATGTTGTTGTTAATGAAATTGAGCGATTGCTATTTCGACCAAATATTAAACAAAGCGCACAGTAAGTAAAAGTCAGTGATAACATGAAACTGCTCTAGTGATACCGATCAAATTCACATCTGAATACTCCAAAGTGTTTTTCCATCTATTCGTATGATTTTTATTCTAAAATATTTTAATGCGTTCGTTGTTTTCCATTTAGACACTATGGTTTGTGTTGTTTAACGTCAATGAAATTTACACAAACTCAGGATAATGAGTTAGCAAACAAACTGATTAAAATTTATTTTGCTCTGTTTCGCGTAAGTAAGCACAATTGACCATGTGAAAACGAAGAATTGTTAACTCTATCCATTGTAGAAAAGTGGATGTATTTAATACTCAAGTTTTATTTTCTGCCACAGTTTACTCTGTATTTTAGTTACTGAGTGTTAAAGACGATGTTAGTTCAAAATATTTTGCCTTATTATTAGGTGGTGTTACGCGAGCGCTAGCATTTGCAAAAGGTAAAAATGAAATATACAAAATATTTTTATTATATTTTCAGGATATTCTATGTTACTTCTAGTTAATATTGAAAAGATATTAGAACATTTAAATGATCTATTTCGTATTGTTCATTCAAAAAATTTCAATACAAGTGTTCGAGCATTGCAATTATTATTTAAAATTTCTGAACAAAAGTATGTTGATTGTAGAATTTGAATATATACAAAAGAAAGAATTTTTAATTTTTTTCAAGAATTTTTACTGCTTACGAGGGAACCTCCCGAGATGTCCACTTCCGATTCTAATGCTTTTTACATGGATCGATAGACCTCGGTGAGGTAGTAAATACCCTAAAAGGATTCAGACCCATGACTCTTGAAGACCCGATTTTCTGGAAAATCAGTTTTTCAGAAACTCTTAAAAAAATAACAACCAAAACCTTTCTTAACAACGCATGATTGTGGCCTGCAAATTTCTAATTAAAATGAGACGTCTCCCAGCTCCACACCACCTTTCTTTGCAAAGTTATAGAATTCACAAGAAAAGCCCTAAATTAATTTCTTGTTTCTGTAGCTTTAAGTTGACAATGAATATTTGGGGCTTTTCTTGT